AATAAAGTCCATTGGCACTTGAAACCCAGCCTTTCAACTCCACTCCAGAATACGCTCCAAGCCGAAGACCATTTAAATTCAGCCAAGACCATCTATACAGACCCAGAAGCTGGGTGGCTTTTCAGGGACACCTCCTCCAGGTGCTAGCTTCCTTTTTCAGAACTACCATAAAAGTTTTTAGCACAAAAGATGGAGGTTGACTTTTACAGCACTTTCTCAGAGGTTTCAGGAGTAAAAGACGCACATTCCTCTGCCAAAAGAAGAGGACCTTCTGGGATTGCCTTTGCTAATAAAGACCTAATATTTACCTTTGCAAGCAACTCCAGGGCTTTTAATACCTTATTTTAGATTTTATGTGCTCCTCTGTAGTCCTTCAGGAGATCCAGTTACTTATTTTTATAGCACAGAGTAATGTAATACTGAGTTATCATTAAAGCTGCAGTTCTTGCACCACTGAAAAAATGAGAAATCAAAGGACAACAAAACCTCATATAGGACTCTCTGGAAAGCTCTGCTTCTCTACACCTTACTTTTTAACTGGTCCTTGAGAAAATATGTCAAATATTCTGCTCTGATTCTAAATGATTTTATACCATTCTGTCTGAAGCTTTTCTTGCTCATCAGTGCAGCACAGCAAATCTCATTTTTCATTAAGCTGTAAAAGCCAGGAAAAATGTTTGATAACATTAATTTTAAAAACTTATTGTTCTGAATGAAAAGCAGTACCAAAATTCAAATTTAGAAGTCATAAAAACCTTAGCTGGGAGGTAGCATTCTAATAATCACGTAGAATGATTTGAGCATCTTCAATATGAATAAAGTTACTGGACACACATGCGGTTCTGTCTGAGGAAAAAACACTATTTAGTGTTAATAAGAACTGGAAGCATAGGTGCAGCTAACTGTTTGTAATTCACGTACAAACACTGAGCTAGTATCTCAGTAGCCCATACAATTTTTTTAAGTAGTCATTGTAAGAAAGTCATGACTACTAACATACGAGACCTGCTGCACTTACATGCTTTGCCTCAACCCCTGGATATGATCTGAACTCTCACAAACTAATCAGCATCCAGCTAGGTCAGACGCTTGGAAATAAGTTTGTCAAAGCAGACTTGAACGCTGCCGGTTGATTGCAGTGCTCTGTTTTGAAAGCAGTACTCCACCATGGGGTTTGGAAGAATTGTACTAGTGTAGGTGATAAATTTCAAACAATACATAAAACAGAGATTTCACCCACTTGAAGTCATTGAAAAGGCACCATTTACAAAGTGGAGATGCCACGTCTGCCAGCCCTCACAAATTTCCACACGTAATAAATTAACCTTAATGAACAACACTGCTAACAATCTCACCGGAAGCTAAGGATCGTTTGCAGAGCAGTTCTCCGAGAGCTGCAGTCACTTCAAAGACATTCCAGTGTATGACACAACTGTTTTCTTTCCCCTAGCGTTAAACTTTCACTTATCCAAACTTTGAATTCCATGTAAATATTTTTATTAACTAAAAATTCACCAACGTGAATGGGTATAATAATTTTATTAGTTTCTGTTTTGTCCTCTTATGTTTCCTTAGCAGGTGTCCTTCTCAAAATGTTCTCTTTCTCTGGGTTATCCAATCAATTTGTTTCTTCTCAGCGTTATGCCATGTCGTCTCCTTTAAAGCCAGATCCAAAGCAGCCTCTTCATGCCTGCTAAACGTAACATCTTTTTTTTCTGCTGTTCTTCCACAATTACATTCGGATTGCACAGACTTCTGACAGTACAAAGAGCAAGCAAATGACCTTTAAAGTCACAAAATAATACTGGTAACAGACTTTATAAAAGGTAGCCTTATATACAGTGCTTTTGATCAGATATACATTTATATACCGCTATTTTCCTCTCAATGATATGGAGTGTTATTTTGAAAGGTGTGTGATGGCAAATACAGTCTGGAAATTGTGTACTACTCCCCAGCACCTACAGCTGAACCTCCAAGTATGATAATACAGATATTAACTATCAGTTAAAATGTAAAGGAAAGAGGCAGTTCACTTGTGATCATCAAAAATCTTGGGCAGGTTTGCTTGCACCAGTCTGACTTTAAGTCAGCATTTAAAATACCTTGCAGGTTTGAAAAAGGGACTTTATATACATCTTATAAATGCCTTATCTGAACTGAACCAACACAAGATGGAAATGGGGCACAGCTGAGATATATGAAAAGGGAAGAGTAACAGATGACTGCTTTGACAGGAAGGCAGCTGAACTAAACTAATCTGAATGGCATCAGTTTATCATACAAAGACATTTAATTTATTTCATTATTCTCCGTGGGCAGTTAAAGCACCCCAAGGCCCTAACATATTCAAGGAGATGAGCATAACAGACAAAGACTGCTTCAGAGTGCAATATTTAATGAAACTTAAATTAGGTCTCAAAAGAGCAATAGAGTGCATATTAAATATGACACCGATACTGAGCCATTCAGTTCATACGCATTTAATCGCCATCAAATTCACCTAGGGCCCCAGAAAATTTTAATACAATTTTAATATGGCCATGCAGATAGATTCTACTTTAATATACACTTTGAATACTTTGTCAACATGAAGCATAGGACAGAAGGGTAAGGAATACTCTGTAGCTAAGATTAAGTATTTGTTTAAGAAACGAAGAAAATATTTTGTCACGTTAGCACTGAAGTGAAATACAAATCCACAAGAAAAGCTCTAGGATTTTGGATTCTGTTGTTCTGTATGACAAAATATATACTTTTGTCCAAGGAAGTTAGTAGATATTATGCATTCATATTTTAAGCACTGTAAATAAAGTGATCAGGAAGTCAGTATTACCAAACTTGTTATATATTTGACTGTGTTTCTATGTATTTACCTGTTCTCATTTGCCCCCAAAAAGAACTTGGTTAACAATATGAAACAATCTCTAATAAACAATGATTTTCCTGTGAACATAGCCATTTTCACATAGCACTCTGATGTACTGTACTACAAAATACTATGCAGAAAAATGTTAATTACAAGTGAAAACATTTTAAACAGGAAAATAATCTATCTGTCCTTATAAATTCAGTCTAAGTAAAAATATAGTTTTTTCAGTTACTATGACAAAGAAACAAATACTCAAAACCTAGCCTCAAAAATGGAAAAAAAAATATGGATTGTAAGTATCTGGTTCTGAAAATCACCAGTACACAAACATGCATCTTCCACATCTACCAAAATATTCAGTTAGATAAAATGAGAAAAGACTCAAAATAGGAAGACTCTGAAACAAAAAGACCCCTTCAGAACAACTGGAACAAAAGAAGGATGAATATCGTAGTAGTCCATAACATGATATATAGAATTAAAAGTAAGATTTGGGGGTAAGAAATGGTAACTAGAATGTCAGTGTTTCACTGCTTATCTAAGATCTGATCGAAAGCAGAGTAAGGGACGAACGAAGCAGAGTAAGGGACGAACGAAGCAGAACATAAACACAGAGGAAAGTTTAAGTACTTAACAACACTGCAGTTTACACTTCTCCCATCATTTCAAATGCCAAGATGCTGTCACCTGTCAGTCAGCTCCAAAGATACTCTGTGCTGTGTGTCAAACACTAATACAAGGACTTTGGGATAAACTCTGGCTGCTTTAGAGCCAAACCAGACAGTTTCCGCTGATGATAGTTTAAACAGGTATAGTAGTATATAGTAGTTTAATGCCTGCTATACATTAAAACTATCATCTTTCAGGCAAATTCCATTAGTTTGCATTATGACTGAACTGGTATGACTTGCAGGAAGCATATTTGTGTCATAAAGGAAACCTACCACCTGTAAATCACTAACTGAGGAGCACTATTCTAAAATGCTAGTCTTGCATCACCTTACTGAGGGCTTTTCCTCAGTTGTCATGTCTTTTGCTGTTAAAACAAATCAACAAGAATGATGTCAGATGAACAGTTAGATGAAACTTCTGAAATTTGACCAAACCAAGTGGTAAGTTACTGCAGTTTATCTGGGAGAAGTAATTTCAAAAAAATGCTTAAGAACTCTTCTTTAGCATTCTTATAACATGATTTGCGTCCCACTAAAATAGTAGTCTTTTTTTCTGTACGTTCTAATCCACAAGCTATTGTATGAAATGTGTCCACTTTAAGCCAAACTTCTATAAACTTACACAGACTTTTGTTAAAGTACTAAGATTCTTACATTATTTGCCTATAAAATCTTCAGTATTTAGAGCACCTGAAAAGTTTAATTAAAAAAGGAGGGGGTGAGGAGGTTTTCATAAGGTATAAACATTCCAGAATCACTTCTCTTTCACATATGCCAATACTTTTTTTAAAGGATGACTGCCACAACCACACCTCTCTAGCATTGCGTCTCAACACAGTTCCATGTTGTACTATTTTGGTCAATGAACGCCCAATCAAAATGGAGAAGGTACCTACTCTAATAGAAAATATTTAAAGCAGACAACGCTGCCGTGCTGATTGTACCTTCTGTAATTCTTCAACATTGCTCAATTTACGCACTGCTGAGAACACATCCACATTTCCAATATAAAATAAGCAAACAACACACCCAGACACCAACATTCAAGATTTCACAAGGCCCCATTAACTACACAGGCCAGGAGTTTTTTCACATTTTTAGAATGAATTTATTTGATCCAAAGAGACGTGTTGTCTTATGTTTAACAAGCTCAATAGCATTTTATAATTAAAGGCTTATGTTGACATTATACAAAGGAGTAACAATGATTCTTTCGAAAAGTTTTACTCCAAGATACTTGGAAAGGAAAGATTTTCTGCCTTATAACGTTACATTAACTATGACCTCATCCCTGAGCTGAAATAGGGCTTGGCTATTAAAGCCGTAAGGAACCAATCTGAAACCTGAGACATCAGACAGCTTTTAAATGATAAAAACTGAAGAACTGTTACAAAACCAACTGAAGTCTCAGTTCTTTTCAAGGCCTGATTTCATACAGAAGTTTTTTTTTTTTTTTTAAAGAAGAAAGGTCTGAAAAATTACTGGTTCCTCAGACTTTGAAGAAGAACGTTACAAAGTTCTGAAGGGCTTTTCACCTACAAGACCAAAACAACTGCCTGCTACGAATCACATTTAAGACAGTCATTCGGTGTGTCAAGTTTTTATTTAGTACTGGCTGCAGCTTTATGGGAAAGTGCCAAATCCAACCCAAAATCCACTCGACGGTGAACAAAGTCCATCATCAAAGATACAGAAACTCTCCTGCAGTCAACGTCCAAAGAACTGAGAAGCGTTCAGCCTGCTACGAATCACATTTAAGACAGTCATTCGGTGTGTCAAGTTTTTATTTAGTACTGGCTGCAGCTTTATGGGAAAGTGCCAAATCCAACCCAAAATCCACTCGACGGTGAACAAAGTCCATCATCAAAGATACAGAAACTCTCCTGCAGTCAACGTCCAAAGAACTGAGAAGCGTTCAGCACGGCCACCTGTCACCAAAGCGGGGACAGGAGGAAGCTGGCAAACCGTTTCCTCCGCTCCCTCTCGTAACAGAGACGCACAGGCGACTAGGAAGGGGCCCTCTTTTGACAGCCCCGGCGGCCCCACTGAGGCCTACGCGGCACCCGCTTGCTCAAGACAGGGGGGGAAAAAAAAAAAAGAAGGGAGATGGCAATTCACAGTAAGTCCCCGCGGCGAGAGCAGGAAAGGCAGCTACGTAACTCAATGCCAGGAGGCGGCACGCGCCCCAACCAGCTCCTTCGCCGGGTCCATTTTCTCCACGACAGCCAGCCGCAT